CTGATAGGGACGTGTAAGGCCAAACACACCCTGGCTCCTCAGGACAGTGTCCAGCTGGGATCAGGGTACTGAGGAGCTCAGTGAGGCCCTAAACAGCAATCTCACAGGGGCAAGGGGGGTTTTCCCCACACAAAGAAGGGCCAGGGCAAGGTGACCTCAGGGGCCAGGCCTGCTGGGCTCTGTGATCACAGAGGGCTGAGCAAGAGCTTCTGGCCTTAACTTTCAGAAAGGTCAAGTTTGGTTTGCAGATAAACTTCTCAATGAAGCCATACCTAACTACACAGAAATGGTTAGCAAGGGAAGCTGGGGAAGCTCTGACCTACAGCAGGTCGAGCTCAGGATCACCTGGCATCCTGGAGAAGCCCCAGGCTGAGTGGACCCCAGAGCTGGTCCAGGCACAAGCCGTATCTAGGCACAACACCCTATCTGCACCGGGCATGAGGTGACCTGTGAGCACCAGGCAGGAGGATAACACAGGGCTGCAGAGGAAACCCCTTGGAAAGTTGCAGGCCTCAGATAAACATCAGGAGGAAAATTATGATGAGGATGTGATCCCCACACTCTGAGGACTTCCCATCTAAAACAACACTGTGGGGAGACCCGACAGCCCGGGGTAGCCCGAAGACTGAACCTGTTCGGGCATGAGATGCACGAAGGGCTGTGTACCTTGCAAGGTCATCCCATCCTATTTCCCTGAATAAATACACTTTTGAAAAACAATGTATGCACTTTACTAAAAAGGTACTCCTAAAAAAATAAAACCACACAACCCCAATTCAGGAGTTAAGGGCTGGATTCAGATGCCGCACATGTCTCTGGGGCAGTCTGCTTTCCATGGGGGCTAAAGGAAGCGCCTCACTCCCTCGGGAGCCCAGCGGCATCGCAGGGGCTGACTGCTGTGCTGTCCTGCCCGTTTCCTCACCCGCTTCCTCCCTCCTGCCGTGAACCTGAGCCAGGGCGGCTGCAGAACTCACCTCCTGGGGCAAGGGCCCTGAGAGCTCCACCCCCGGCCCAGGTCCCAACCTCTCTGTGTCCCTGTCCCTACTCCATGACAGACCCTCAGCGTGGGTCTGGCCCGACTCTGCCCTGCTCAGTGGCCGCACCAGGAGCTGCTTCTTCTGTTAGGCCAGGCCAAAGGACTCGTGGCCCTCTCCACCTGGCCCACAGGACTCCCGTCTGGCGCACTCTGCCCAGCTGTCTCCCACCGTCCTGGTTGCCTGCTCCTCCTAGGAGGCCTGGCTCTGACATCAGCAGATTCAGTCCTGGGCCCTCCTAAGGGTGGGACTGGGTCTTGCTCAGGGCCCCACACACAGAAAAGGCTCAGTGAACGTGTGTGCACGGAGGGAATCCTCCACACCTGCTGTGAGGGCGGGGGAATGGCTCTCCTGGGCAGGGAGGAAGGGGGAACTGGGGAGCTGTTTCTGGTGCCGTCGTGAGGATTCCCCTGCACCCATGCCAGCCAGGCCCTGAAGAGTGACAAGGTCAGCAGCAGAAGCAGCACTGAACACGTCAGCAGCACATGGCATTGCTGGGCACCGTTCACACAGGCTGACACATCCCATCCGCACAAGAGGCCCGTAAAGTGGACACAATTATCAGCTCTGTGTCCCAGATCTGGAAACTGAGGCACAAAGAGGTTAAGTGACTTGCCCAAGGTCACTGAGCTACAAGTGGAAAAGCCAGGACTTGCACCCAAACAAGCTCTGAGCCACATTTTCCCCCAGGCCTGCTCAGCCGCCTGACCTCTGGGCCTCTGGTTTGCACAGAGCGGCCACAGACGAGGACTGAGGCCGGGTCCTTAGCCTTCAGACGGGCGCCAAATGGGCCACACACCTTCAGAGAGGGTTCGATCATTGGGCCGCATCCAGCCTGCTGAGCAGGAAGGCAGGCTCTGAGGACAGTGAACCTCCAGAGCGGAGCGCCTTCTGTCACTTGGGACTGGAGGCTCTGTGACTCGCTCAGTAAACATCCTGGCCGCTGCCCACTGCAGCCCTGGGCTTCTTCTCTGAAGGATGTTCTTCAGGACGGAGGCCCACAGGACCTAGAAGGCAGTGTCCCTCTCGGAGGCCGCTTAGGAATAGACTTCCTTGTGGGGGAGGGAAGGGGCAGTGATGGGGCGGGACGAAGGAGAACAGCATGATTCAGAGAGCTCTGAAGTAGGTGTCAGTGTCGGGGTGGCCGCGACACCCCTGCTCCTCCAGAGCACAGGCACACGCCAGGAGGGTGAGGAGCGCCGCTGAGGGGAAAGCACCTGAGGCCAACGCCCACAGGCCAAGTAGGCGCGGAGCCCCAGCTGAGCTACCCCCACGGGGAGAAGGACAGCGGGGGCCACCCGGCTCCAGGCCTCAGGGGAGCCTCCAGAGAGGGCGCTGCCCGCAGCCAGGCTGGTCCCAACGGGAGGGGCAGCTCTGGGTGGAGCTAAACACCTCAGCTAGGGCCCCAACCCCAGGAGGGGACGTGGGCCTGGAAAACAACTGGCGACCAAGCCTGAGGCAGCACGCAAATTCGTGCAGACGCCTCCCCACACCATTTTGAAAACAGGCTGCACTCTAAGGTCTCAACTGGGGGCTTCATCTGTGGAACCCAAGTTGCCTCAAAATATGCTGACTCCATCAGGAACACGCCACACTTTGTGGCCTCCAGAAATGCAAAGGGGGCGACTGGTTGATGGGCTTGGCCGTTGGTGGAGGGACAGTGCTGTCTGGATTTGCAAAGGGGCTGAGCGGTGTGACCCCGGCCACAGGCCAAGGTTTCACTTATTCCCTGATGCCAGTTTCTTACAAAGTTACTACCAGACTCCTGACTGCTAACACATAACAAAAACCTTCCATGTACGCCCTTAAAACACAGTGACAGGAAATGTTTCTAGTGTTATACTCCTCTGGATCCAATGAGGCTATTTTTAACTACCTTCTCAGACTTAATTTCCAATTTTATCCTATAAAGTTCTAATTCATTCCACCTCCCCTGAACTCTCACTTGACGAGGCTGTGAAGAGCATGAGGCAGGCTTGGCAGTTTCTGACCTCTCTGAGGTGGGAGAAGTTTTCTAGGTCTTTGCTCACCTCCCTCTCTCAGCACACGCCTCCTCCTCCAGGGCTAAGAGGCTCTCGGCAATGTCTGTATGATGTGCGCATAGTCCCACCATCCCCTAGTCACCGATGCCTGACCTTTCCCCTCAAATGTCCTTCCCTCAGTGGGTCCAGGGTGTGCAGTACCAGCTGGGATGCTGTGACACGCCGTGGACCATGGGACACAATGTTGAGGAGGTTTTCGCACTTAGCCTCAGATCCAGAGGTAGGGAAGGGACGCCACGCCACTTCAGCCCCATCTCCTTCAGAGACCCAAGGGTCCTCGGCCTCCCTCTTGCATTCCCCCTCTAGCCGTGAGCCAGCACAGACGGGGGGGTCTGCACCCAGAGCCCAGGAGGGAAGGGGCCTGAGGACCTTTAAATCCTGCCTCGGCCCAGCTGCCACCACCACCTACATGCCCCATGTCAGCTGTGCTGGGCTCTGCTTGTTGCCTGGATGTGCCCATGGCCCCTCCAGACCTGCAGGCAGGCTGTTCCCTCTGCAGGACCCCCCT